GTGTATATGTATATATATAAGTATATATGTGTGCTCTTTATGTAGCAGCATGAGGCCTCAGTGCAGATGTCCTTCATGAGAAAATTTGGAACATTTGTAAACAGCAAAGTAACAAAAATATTTATTTAAAGAAATGAGAACCAACTGAACCTTAATGTTTTTTTACACCAGGTACTTGTAGTGCAGATGTCCTTCCTGAGAACATTTGTAAACAGCAATATAACAAAAATAAATTAAAAGAAATGTGAACAATCTGAACCTGAGTGGTTTTTTTACCCTACCAACTTTTCACAAAAGATTCTTAATAGTCCCAGTTTAAGAACTGCAGGTTGTAATGCAGAAAACGGAGACGCTCAGCATTTTCTCCAGTGAGCCTGTTCCTCCTTTTATCGTAAATGTGGCCAATCTCACTGAACACCCTCTCACTGTGAACAGAAGAAGGAGGTGGAGAGAGGAACTTTATTGCCAGTGGTGCCAGAAGGTGCAGGCGAGTTGCATTTTGTTTCCACCATTGCAGTGGCTGACCAGTCTGTCTGTCAATCAGTGGCTCCTGTTGGTACTGGTCCAGCTGCTGAGAGATTTGCTGCTCTTCATCAATCTCTTCAGAGGTTTGACCATGAGCCCCCAAAAGGTTTGCATACATTTCGTCAATCAGGCCAGTTGGACAAGGTTCCTCCTCTTCTTCCACCCTTATGCGTTTCTGACCTAGGATTTCATCTTCCAAGGAGGTCCTGTTTTCAGCCTCAGCTGGTTTCCTAACTTCTTCTTTTGTCCATTCTTTTGCATTGCTTAGTGTACCCTGTGCTAAGGCATGCCYCTTATACCGAGGATCCAGAAGTGTCGCCAGCACCAAACATTTGGTCTTCTCAGCATTTTTGAAACGTGTCTGTAAGCTTTTCAGCATTGTATCCTGGACAGTTTTGATTCCCTTTGTTTTGGGACCCTCTGTCTCAAGTGCCATCTTYAGCACAGCAATGCTTGGGATGATGCAGGAGATGGAGGCATCTGACTTGCTCGTTTCTAATGTCACCTGTTCAAGTGGGCCCAGCGTAGCAATCAGATTGGAAACGAGAGTCCACTGATCAGCTGATAATGTTGAAATCTTTCCATGGTCACCTGCATACACATTCAAAGCACGTTTCTGCTCCAGCATCCTCTCCAACATACAGTGGGGAGACCAAGTATTTGATACACTGTTGATTTTTCAGGTTTTCCCACTTGCAAACTCTTCAACTGTGAGTGATGGAATCTAAAACAAAAATACAATGTATGATTTTTAAATAACTAATTTCCATTTTATTGTGTGAAATAAGTATTTGATCATCTATCAACCAAGTAAGAATTTTGGCTCTCACAGACATGTTAGTTCTTCTTTAAGAAGCCCTCCTGTTCTCCACTCATTACCTGTATTAACTGCACCTGTTTGAACTCGTTACCTGTATAAAAGACACCTGTCCACACACTCAATCTCCAGCATCTCCACAATGCCCAAGACCAGAGAGCTGTGTAAGGACATCAGGGATACAA